GCCAGTGGATGGCGATAAATTAACAATTTTGTAATTGTTATTGTTGAAAAAAAAAATTTTTTTCCCATGTGGCGTTTTTCTTTAAAAGGATTAATGTTTTGAGACCCTGCACCATTGTTTTGATGTTGATCGAATTCTGACGTTCATGTAGCTTCTACGAGCATAAAAATTAGGTTAGCATTGACATTTCAATAATTTCAATAGTAATTTATTTAGTATTTAGAATAAAGAAGTTTCATGAAATAAAAGGCAGTTACTAATATTTCTAAATACTGAAATATTAGAAAGAAAAAAAAAATTTTTTTCAGGTCAAATATGGAAATTTAAAACGTGATAAGAAAATTATTGATAGAATAAAGTTAAGATTTAAGGAGTGAGAAATTGGAGAACGATAATGTAAAAAATTAATGTGTTTGTTTTAAAGCAGTAAAAGTCTAGTTTTGTCCAGATTCAGCCACGACAATAGCATTTATGAATTATCACTTTACATTATGAAAATTACGTAACAAATTAACTCTATACAACGATTTATGGTAATCTTACTCGAGACAATAATTCAAAAAAAAGAAAAAAAATATATATATTTTTTTTATTTATATATATTTATATGTATGATATATATTTCGAAAAATTTTAACATTTGATTTTATACATTGTAAAAAAATAAAGAAGCAGTCAACAAATAACCAAAGTAGAGAAGGTTAGATGTACGTATTACAGTAATTAAGATTATTTATTATGATCTTTAAAAGTTAATCACTCTCGATGTTTTTGTAACAATGGTAATGTAATTCATTATTTTGTTTCGGTAGTTAAATTTGGAATACACTCTCCTTTCTGACTGTATGTGTCTCCTCGATTGTTAGTGATACAAAATTTGGAATTATATTGTTTACAGTTCCATTTATGGGGTAAAAAATATTACACTACATTTATATATTTCTGTATTTGATATGAATTATTATCTACGCACTTTGGTAAATAAAGTAGTAATTAGAGAAAGTTTTTTCGTTAGCATTTTTAGCATTTGAAACATTACATTTATAGAAAATAAGGCACAAGATTAAAATACTTTTTTGGTCAAAAATGAACTAGCTTTGAAAGTTAATTAATAACAGTATGTTAATAGACAGTATGTTAACGGTATGTTAACACGGCATAAATCAACATAAATCAAATATAAATCACATAAATCAGCCTAATAATGTAAATTAATAAGGAGTATAAAGGGTTGAAAAATTCTCAGAATACGTAATAGAAGGTGTATGCTAAGAAAGAAAAAAAAGCAAAATGTTATTGGTCAAAATATTGGGATCGCTGGAGAGCCATCCGGATCAAATACGAACAAATACGAACAAGTAGGAATTGAATACGAGCTAAATATAAGTCGAACACGAGTTAAGTCGATACACGAATCGAATTGAATGAAAATCAAATATGAATTGAAATACGAATCAAATACGAAAATCGGACGGTTAAAAATTCATTGACATCATTTAATCCAATTAATTAACGCAGCTTAGTTGTACTAGCTTTTAAATTATCGACATTTAACAAAGCAAACATTAATTGGTTATTCTAAAAAAAAACTGTAGTGTACATTGTAACATTTTTTGATCATAATGCATGTTTGAAGAATATAAAGGAAACAACATATACAAACATATACAAACAGATACAGAGTTATCTGCAAGTTTTATTAATTTATATAATCGTTATAAACATGAACTGATTAAGGTGACTAGTTAATTTCAAATTATGGTTATTATTATCGTTATATTCTATTGGTTTTATTTTATGATTACAATACGTACACTAAAGTATTTTTGATAGTCAGGCTAAGAATTTACCTACCTAAGTACGTGCATACGTACTTGTACGTACAGTACATACGACGTATGTGGCTGGAAAACTTTAGTCACATGAAATGACAAGAAGTGGTCGCATTATATACAGTATTATTATTACCAGTACTATTATTATTATTATTATGTATCGATATATATCATGTATTCGTATTATTACTATTATTATTATTATTATTACTATTATTATTACTATTATTATTATTATTATTATTTATTATTATTTATTATTATATATTATTTATTATTATTATTTTAAATCAAAATTTAAAAAAATTTTATTTGTATTTTTTTTTTTTTTATTATACAATTTATCTACATAGAGCATGTAACCCAAAAATCATTAGTGTTTATTTTTTGTTATTAGCATTTTTTTAAGTTACGTACAGTACGTACGTACGTACGTTAGTTTAAACATTAATTACCAGTTACTAAATTTAATACATATCTGATATACATATAATATATTTTTTATATAATTGAGGTTAAGGTTAAAAAGAAAATTAATGGGATCCAATAGTCTGGGTTATAATAAGCCACACCAAAGTAAAAATATACAGTATGTTTTTAAGTTTACATAATTAGAGAATTAAATATTTTGGGATATACATTATGATTACCTAGTTAGTATCAAATCGCTCTTAAAAAAGGCATCATGAAAAAAAAACCTGCATAAGAGATCTTAAGCTGCGATCCTAATCATGCAGGTTTGTTAGTCATTGACTCCCATTTCCGATAAATAAGGCGGGAAAGTTCCAACAAAAGCATTAACGTAACCATATGTTAAGTTCGTTTTACCAAAAATTGACATCTACAAGTCAGCCCGATGCGTAATATGCGTAATACGTATTTGATTTTTGATAAACGGCGCGTTTGCCCCACCCTCAGGCTTGAATTCCTGAATTGGAAATTTCATTATTGGTCTTCTTTAGAAATATATTAACAATTTAGACTTTTTCAGAATAAACATTAAAAAAAAAAAAAAAAAACGTTAAAAAAAAAAAAAAAATCAAAAATCAGATCCTATCTTCTAACTTCTTTTTTTAATATCTTTTTTAATATCTTTTTTTAATATCGGATTTACTGCTACTCAATAGCGATAACCATCCATAGCAAGTTTGATTTTTTACTGTATCTGGTTATATTAATTTTTTTTAAAATAAATAATTATGTCCTGATGTGGTAATAAATTTTTTTTTTTTTCATGACCATCCGCATCTTTTATATGTTCTATTATTAGTAATTTTGCTTTTTCTCTCTGAACGAATTATTGTGATGTTCACTATTGTGATTTTGTACCGCGTTAGTCAAATATGTTCGGAATGCGATGTAAATGGTATGATTATATGTTTTGATTAAATCGCCTTGCATATATTTATATCTTTACGATGCGTAATGCTATGTATTAGACAAGAGGCAACAATGTTAATTGCACAAATCAGTATTTGTCTGTGAACCTGCATGAAGAAAACTTTTTTTTTTTTTTCCTCTGAGCTCGGCGTGTTAATTTAATCGTTATAATTTATCGTTATAAGTTATCGTTATAAGTTATGTTATACGGGTTATTCTGAGTTTATTTTTAATTTATATTTTTTTTTATATTTCAAAATATTTCAATCTCTCTCTCCACATAACAAGCACATGGGTACACCACCATTTATAGATGTTGTTGTTATCTGCTTGCCTTTTCTGTGGTTTGCTGTATGTTGACCTACTATACTGTAAGTTTTCTGTTGACTTTTGTTGGTATATATCTATTTTTTGGGTTCCGTTACGTATTTATGTATTGATTTTAGCCATATGACGTACAAAAAAGTATTTGCTTGTGATGTTCATACCTTTATATACTTTCACTACCTTATACTTACCTCTTAATTCTATATAAGCACTCTGCTGCCTATCAAGACCCCCCTTTCTTTATCACCCGGTTTCTTTCTTCGGTTCAATTTTTTTTTTCTTTTTTTTTTAAGAGAAAAAAAGTGTTTCAAGTCCATCGACGACAATTTGATCATTGATCGACGAGACGTAATATATTACAAAAAAAAAAAAAAAAGGATTTTAAAAAAAATTTATATTTTAAACAATTAAAATTACAAAAATAGGTGAGGATACAATGAATATCAATTTTTTATTAAATATAATACTACTACGGCAATCTAGTAAGAGACGGATATTTATATGGACCGTTGACTTATATGTCCATACACTTTTAGTTTAAAATTAATAATATCTTCAAATTTATCCTAATTAAGAATGGTAAAAAAAAAAAATATTTATAAATACTACTTGAAACCGAGGACTTTGAAAAAATGCGCCCAATGTTTCAAACTTTCCCTCCGTCTGTGGAATTTCTGAATTGACCTAAACTTAATATTCTTGAATTCCGTTACCTTATTTATTTATTATTATATATTTTTTTTTTCTCTATTTATTATTATTCTGGGCTGCCTGGATCTCTCGTACTCCCTGTTGTGAAAAGGTTCTCAAACTTGTGTAATTTTTTTATAGCTCTATAAAGACCTTTTTGAGAAAAAAAAAATATCGGACCTACGCGTCTTTGTATAAATATATCAGATTCGGTGATTTATTTTTCGGTTCTGGTATTGTAAAGTTTTTTTTTTTTTTTATTAGTTTTACTATATTTACATTATATCGTTTTGTCCATTGTTATGAATTTTCAATTTTGTAATTTTGAAAATTTGTAAAATTTTGGAAAATTGAAAATTTTGAATTCTTTGACCCAACCACTAAAATTCTTTTTTAATTCAATTTCCGATTTTTTTTTATTACTCTCCGCTACAATGAATCTTGATCAAAAAGGGTTCCTTTAACGATAATTTACGACTTATATTAGCTCTTTGATACGACAAACCAATTCCAACAAACGAATCTATTATTTGGTTCTTTTTTTTTTTCCTATTTCAAGACGGACTTATTCAACTTTTTTATCCTAATTTTGGTTTGGAAGGAAAAAAAAGAAAAAAAAAATTTGAACTAGTAATTAATCAATACCGGAGAGACAGTACCAGTTCCGAATAATAATAATTAAAAAAAAAAAAAAAAAGAAAAAAATAAAGAAGGAATAAATTCAAGAATTACGAACATATTATCATTATGTGGCATCGAATCAAAAATATGTCAGTCAGCAGCTTACCAAAATTAGATCCAAAATCAGATGACATGAATAAAACCAAAAGTAATATAATATCAAAGACTTTAAAAAAAGCTGTGTCAATGGATTCGTTGCACCAGAGGCCTTCAGGATACGTAAAAAAAAGAAATGGAAGTCTAGATGTAAATTTATGTGGTAGTTGGTTTACAAAGCATGATCATAAGGTAAACTATCCAAAAGTTAATACCAAAGTTAATAACGAATGATTGTTGATCATACTTTAAAATTTTATTAAAGTGATGTATCTACCACGTATATATGCTAATTTTATATTTTTTTGTCTACTACAATTTGATTAGTCAACGACAAATGAACAACAATCATCAGATTTACTTGATGAAACTTTTGTAGTTGCATTAATCGGTAAACCATCGGTGGGAAAATCAACAATAGTTAGAACGGGTTTGAATAATTTGGCGCCAATAAGGAATGTTGGTGTGGAACAAAATATATTACATGGTAATTATTATATATAATTATAAAATGATTATATGAATAATCGGGTGGTTATTAATATATGTTAATATATGTTGATGTATGTTGGCATGGTATTTTTTTTTTTTAGCTCCAACACTAATAACAGAAATTGAAGTTGATGATCGAGCATACCCTGTGGAAGTTTTAGAAATTCAAGAAAATGTTTTTGATATGAAAGCTCCTTTACGATGGCCAAAGGTAAATTACCTTATCTATACTTATATACACGTATAACACTACATATCTATACATATACATACATATCTTCATTTCTTAACCGTTCCATCTTGTGTTTATACAGGAACTTCCAGATATCGATGGAATTTTAGTATGTTATGATGTGACGTCACGGGCATCAATAGCAAATATAGCGTGGCTTCTAAGTACGTTAACCTTTCATTTTATCATTTTACTTTTATTTCTCTTTTTACCTTTTTTTTTTTACTTATTCAATTTGATTGAATTTATAGATGCCTTTAAAGAATTTCAAATTCCTACAATACTTGTCGCTAATAAGGCTGATTGCCCTCCTACAAAGCGTCAAGTAGATACTGAATATGGTTCAAAATTAGCCCCGTTATTTGATGTCGGTTTTGTGGAATTAGATACTAGAACAAATCATGGAATACAAAAAATTCATAATGTTTTTTCAATGCTTCTAAAATTATCAATAAGACATCGTGAATTTAAAGAATTTCATATTTGTCAAGAAATTAAATCTGAATCAGTTGACTTGTCTTCTGATTCTTTATATCTACAAAGTATTGTTGGTGATGTAGATTCTGAAAAACTTTCTAGTCATAGGAGAACTACTAGTGATCTAAGTCATGAATCAAGAGGACGTGGGAGATTTTCTAATTTCTCTGCTGTTCGATATATGAAATCGAGATATCATAATCGTTTTGGTTCTTCTAAAGGTGAATCAAGAAAATGTATGTATATTAAATATATATATATATATTTATTAAATAAATAAACCTTAAACATTTATACCATTTTTTTTTTTTTATATAGCTCGCTCTCCTTTAAACAGACTTAGTAGTGATGATGAAGGTTCGTCTTCGACACGTCGTTCATTATCACGTTCTCCATTTTCTTCCTCTCCATCCGTGTCTGTCACTCCGTCAAATACTCCTCCAAAATCATCTGTACTATCTCAAGTATCACTTCCTTCGTTTTTATCCCATTCGGACAGAAGCTCTTATCGAAGATCTTCTTTTCTCCCATCATCAACTTTATTACAAGTAATGGAAGCTGAAGAAGAAAAGGATATTGTTATAGTAAGAACTGGTCATAGTAGAACATCTTGTGGAAGTTATGATTCTACTGCTAGTTCTATGAGCGCAATAAGTGATAATTCTTGGGAGGGTCTGTTGTTTGTTAATGATCCATTAGGTCCAAATAAATGTACTGGGTATGTTTTTATATTATTATTATTATTATTATTATTATTATTATTATGTTATTATTATGTTATTACACAAGATTAAACAAAATAAGATTAACCAAATGTACCATTTTAATTAATAGAAATCGAAGTGATGGAGCAACTATAGATGAATTAATTCAAAGATTAACATGTGTTGGAGGTCAATATGGTACACATGGTAAGAAATTAATAAATAAATTATCAAATGACGAATTTTTATTATTTAACGATCTTATTCACTTTCTCTTTTTTTTTTTGCTTCTGGAATTTTAGATGATCCATTTACTATAACATTTTTCGTAGTTTATCGTGCGTTCATGAGACCTCGAGATGTCCTTATTAAGCTAATGAAAAAGTGAATATCTATCCTTTATAACATAATATTTTTATATAAATAAATTCTTATTATTAAAATACTTATATTACTTTATAGATTCGAAGAATGTGAACAAGATTCGATAGATAGAAGAAATTCAACACATGAAAAAATATGTAATCTATTATATCATTGGATAACACAGCATCCTCATGATCTTATTCATCCACAAACGAGACAATTGATGCGTGAATTCTTTGAAACAATATCAAGTTGTTCACATCTCTCATATTATTCTATAATTCTTAATCCTTTGATCAATGGAACTGTACCAGAAAATGACCCTGATATGTTTTGGGGACTTGTTGACATTACAGATGAGAAACTTATTAAAAAACATGGTGTGATGAACATTACTCCACATGCAAAAAAAGATAGTGGGTTTGGTGGTTGGACTTATGATAATCGTGAAGATAATCAATCTGAAACTTCTGATACTGTACTATCAGTACAACAATCTAGTAATCGCACGAGCAGTCAACCTCATCATAAATCTTCGTTAATAATTGTTCCTGATAGCTCTATAGGAAGACCAATGAGTCAATTAACTTTTGATGAGTTGTCAGAAAAGGATATTGCCAATGAGCTGACATTCCAAGAATTTCAATTATTTAAAAAAATTTCTGTAAGATATCTTTTTTTTTTGTTAATGTGCAAATGTGTTTATATGGGTTATATGTGCTAATCTTTACTTTGTCTTGGAACTTTATAGGGTAGAGATTTGTTGAGGCATATTTGGGCGCCGCAAGGAAGCGTTCAACGCGGAAATGGTCGCGTCGCAAAATCTATCCAACACTTCAATTTTATTTCAAATTGGTATACAAAGAAATCTAAATATTCTCATATTCATTTCTTAGGAAAATTATATTTATTTTTTAATTCATTTTTAGGGTCTCAACAATGATACTATCACAAGAAAAATTGAAAAATCGAGCAGCAATGCTCAAGAAATTTATGAAAATTGCAGTGGTACATATATTATTATTATTATTTAACAATTCAATCATTTTAATAATTTTTTAATAAAATATTAAAACCATTTTATTTTTAGATCGTACGCGAATTAAATAATTACAATACTTTAATGGCCATAATCGCTGCAATAAATTCTTCACCAATTACGCGCCTTCGTAGAACGCGTGAACTTTTAAAGGGAAAATCTAGTTACAAAAAGTTCCATAATTTGGAAGTTCTAATGTCCACTGACAAGTCTTTTGGAAATTATCGTATGGCCTTGAAAGCTCCGTCACGTGGACACGACGAACAGAAAGGAATACCTTATTTGTAAGTTGAAAACTTAATTAGCAAATATATTAATTAGTGCTATTTTCTTTTTTGATATGTTATTCTAATTTTATATATTTATATATATATAGAGGTATCCATTTACAGGATCTGTTGTCAATTGGCGAAGGTAATAGGAACTTTCAAGACGATGGCCGAGTTCATTGGAATAAATTCGCATTGATGGGCGACGTGCTAAACATGATTCGTAAATTTCAAAAGCCCTCATATAATATTAAAAGCAATACTCTTATTGAAAAATTCATTGCCGATACTACTATTATGAATGACGATGTACGTGTTTTTCAAAAATTCTTTTTTTATGAAATCAACTATCTTTCAAAAATTGTTAATCTAATTTCTTGATTTATTTTTTTTATTTTAGGATTTATATAAAAAATCACTGGAACTTGAACCTCGAGTCCAAAGAGCTGCTAGTGAAGGCAGGCTTCGACGGTAGTTCTACTTGAGGGTACTCAAGTTATTTGCAATCAACCAAAAAAAATGAAAAAATTCACGATTACATCATTCCTCTTTAACCACAAACAAATCCTTAAAGTGGTGTATGGTTTTTATGGAAAATAAAGACATTTTAATTTTTTTTTTTTAGTCTCTAGGAACTTGTTTTCTGTTTACTGAGTGAACAGAAAGCTTTTATATTTCTTAGTTCTTAGAAATTTTAATATTCTAATTCATTACTTTATCCAAAACATTTTAATTTTTTCATTTTCAAAAAAGACTTTTTTTTTGAATATTTTTTTTTTTTATACGTAACTCAACTGTACATATAATTTTTTTTTCCTTTATTGGAAATTTTCTTTCTATTGAACATAGGTTTTTTAAGATTTAAGGTTAATTAAATAGTTTATACATTCATTTTTTTTTAGGTGAATTGAGATGATATTTAGGAGGATTTATTTTTTTGTAACATATATAAATATATTTTGGTTTTAATAGGAAAATTAATATTAAAAAAAAGAAAAAAGAAAAAAAAAAAGATTCTTGTTAAGATAAAAAAAAAATAGGCAAGAAATTAGTATGTAATAATTTTTTTTTTTCTTTTTAGGATGAGATTTATGGTGAAATAAAATTATAATTTTTCGCCATAATGTTGCTATTAAACATTAGTAAAGATCTTTTACGTACAGTACGTACTGTACGTAGTAAATAGAACACTTTTTTTATTATTGATGCGTAATATCAGTAATATCGATATAACTAAAAAAAAAAATTCATTAATACCGTATCGGGTATATTGAAATTCTATCTAGAAATTCGGAATACTGAGGTTGAATCGGATTCTTGAATCCGTCATTGACGTAAAATTATTACGTATTCTTACTTAATATTTAATATTAACTTAATAGGTAATTAGCAGCCTTTGTTTAAATCTTTGCTTTTTTAATTAATCATTTATAACCGTTGTCATGTGATTAAATGCATACATAATAAGTACGTATATTCATATATGTATTACATTACATAATATTAGTAATAGAATATGTCATAGAAATTAATGTTACAGAATTACATTTGCCCATCTCTAATTGACGCACGAAAGTATTTTATATGATGTAATTTCCTGTTATGTGTTGATTAACAATTTTGTCGATAACAATTAAATGGTTAGTGCTTAAAATTAGATATTTCTGACATAATTAATGAGTATCGATCCATTTTTCGCAGCTATTTTATCATATAAACGGATTTCGATTACCGACTTCGGATTACTTTCAAATAATTACTATTTATTACTTCTCAATCAAAATTTTTTTGTAACGTAGTTAAAATCGAAAAAAAAAACTTTATTGTTGCATATCGATATCGTATATAGCGAAATTTACTCATTTTGCTACGCCTTAAGCACAGCCCGTTTGTTATTTTTAGAATATTCTAAAGATCGAGTATTCTAAATGATCTTTTTATCTAAATTCATATCATATTAAATCTATGTTTGTATAGCGAATATGTTTCGCTAATTTAAAATATTTTATGTTTAGTTTAAGTTAGTAAAGCTTTATCATTTTCTATATATATAATTAACTTATATATACGTAACTATTAAATTGCGTAATTTTAAGTTATATAATTTATAAATCTATCGCATTTTCTATATTAATATTTATCACTATATATTAAAATTATGTAATATTGTAAAACTAATTCTATCGCTATATTATTTTTCATTTAACTAATTGTAGATTTATACAGGCGAGACAGCATAAGCCAACACCCTTGCGCCAAATTTTAAAATTCCATGATTGGCTGATGTTGAATAATCAATTGTGATTGGTTAAAAATAGCATATACCGAATTTAAGCAACTCTCTAAGCCACCCATTTTGGCTAATTTTTTTAGAAGGGTTGCTTAATTTCAGTAATTTTTAAAATACTTAATTCTATTAGCTAATATTAATAAAAATTACTTTTAATTTTATTATACTTAAAGGGTTGCTTATTTTTATTTTTTTATTTTCAGAAATTGCCTATATTCGGGATTTTATAGTAACTTTTTTTTATATACAGTATTAAGCATCAAATTTTTAATTTTTTTAGTAAACTTTAAATTAATATAACTTCTTGATATTAAAATAAAATAAAAATCTTTTTTAGCCAAATTGTAGCTCAACAAATTGTCTAAAAAAGTTTTTTAAAAAGTTTTTTATTTTTATATAAAAAAATACTAATTATGCTATCTTATACTGTATACAAAATTATATACTGTATATAATATTTATTAAGGTATACTAATAGATGTTTAATATTATAGTTGTTATATTTTAAGGGTAGGTGTACATACGTGGGATGATTGAAAAGTTTTGCACTTAGATTAATATCTCAATTATTTTAAAAAACATTATTTTAAAATTAATATTTATAAATATAGTCATTATAATCATTCTATAAAAAAATTTTCAGCTATTTTTATTATAGTTTTTAAAATATTAAATTTTTAATTATATGTATAAAAACTATTATAAATTTTTTATATATAAAAGTTAGTTTAAAAATATTAAAAAAATAAAAATTTTAACTAATTTTTTTGAAAATTTAAATAATAATAATTTCAATTACCATACAAGCATGAAATAATGCCCATCTGCACGTTAATTAATTGACCTGCACAGTATGCACATGTGCATTATTTTGAAACAAGAATTAAATTCACACCCCTAACTATAAATAGTATTTATTTATAATAAGAACAAAAAGTGCTCTGAAACTGGATTTGATATCAAGTAAACCTATTTCTTGGCTTTAGTAAATGTTGTTCTTCAGATCATGATAAATCTAGTGGTAGTAAAATCATCAAAAATGATCCAGTAGTTCGCCCACAATGCCTCTTGTTTACTTTTGTAAACCATTGCAAACTTTAAAGAGGCATTCAGATGAACTACTGGGCCGTTTTTGATGATTTTATTACCGTTAGAATCATCTTGACCTGAACAACTTTTGTTAAAGTAAAAAATAGGTTTATTTAATATTAACCCAGTTCTGAAGCACTTTTTACTCTTTTATCTTTTTTTATTTATATAAGGATGCACGTTAATTTGAGACGTCCATGGGTATTAATTTGAAGCTACATATACTATTTTAGAGATATCTGATTTTTGAATTAATGCCTCTAGATGTTATTTTGCACTTATATGATATGTAATTTTAAATATATAATTTATTTTTGACCAAATGACAATGGTAACCCATCACTATAGAAACTCTATACAATTATCCAATTATTTTACAGATTGGTGATCATATAGTACCGAATAGTTAAAAACATTAACTTTTTTATAAAAGTGCCAAATTTTGAGATTTTTAATTGATTAATTTTTGTATAACAAAACTTTAATTAGTTAAAAATTTATAACCTAATTTAATTTTTTTTTTTTTTGGCAAAGGTAACTCTAATTGTCAGCGAGATTTTATTAAGCAAATATTAAATACTATATATTATGACAAAAGTACATCAAGCCACACATGCACTTTTTAAATGCCTATTTAAGTAGACAGATCCAGGATGTAGGTGAGATTTTCTGGGTCATATGATCAATCGATCTCCGGTCTAGATCGGGATCACTTGATTTCCTGTTTCACGGATCAACATAAAAAAATAAATAGATGTACGTACACAGATTTTTTTTTTTACCTTTTTTTTTTTTTTTAACATCGCCGTTCGTCTCTTTTTTTTTTTAACTTTGCCGTTCGTCTCTTTTTTTTTTAGCTTTTTTAACGTCGCCGTTCGTCATTGGCACCACTTTTCGCTATCTTGTTGCAATTGCTGCCGTTGCAATTGCTGTCGTTGTGTTTTCACTTGTAAGTAAAGTGTGGTTGTCCCGTTTCATTGCATCTTTGATTTTTTTGTACTGCCGTTTTATTTGTAGTGTTTAATTTTTCTTTTTTTCTATAGTGTCTTTATTTAGTTGTTTCGTCTTAACATTTTGCAAAAGTTAGTGTTAGATAAGGG